CCTGTGACTGAGTGCGAAGTTTGTGTACTCAGTGTGAGCACTATGGCAGTCCCAAAGAAGGGAAGCATTTTGGTGGGTAAGTGTAGGTTTTGAACGTATCCTTGAAAGATGGAAGTTTGGATAAGCAGAGAAGAGCAGCAAGGCTATTCTAGGTAGGAGGAATGGTGTGGAAAAAGGTTTGGAAACAGGAAAATACAAATATTTCGAAGAGAAAGCCGACCATTTTTGCTGTAGTAGGATAGGAAGCAATAGGGTAGAACTTTAATGTTCTGATCAAAGACCACTGACAATCTTCTACAACTAAAATAGACCATGGTGTGATTAGTGGGAAAGAAGACACTATGAAATGAAAGAACATTGGGACCAGACTATGGAGGGTTTTGAATGTCATGTTTTTGAGATCCATCCATGTTGTTGCATGATTCTCTTTTATTGCCAAGTAGTATTCTATTGTAATAATACACCACAATTTGTTTATCCATTCTTCCGTTAATGAACACTTGGGCTATTTTCCAGGTTGGGGCTGTTATGTATAAAAGGCACTATAAATATTCTTACACACGTCTTTTTTGTGGACCTGTGGTCTCATTTTTCAGTATCTAGAAGTGAAAGTGTTACAGAATAGGTTAAGTGTATGCTTAACTTTATAATAAACTGCCATACAATTTTCCAAAGGAATTGTACCGTTTTACATTCCCACGTGAGCAATGTATGAGTCCAGCTGGGGAGCACATGTATTTAAAACAGGAATTTGAAAGATAGATTTCACAGCAGTAGGACACAGATTGGACTGACGCAGGAGGAAATGAAAGTAAGGAGTCTAATGCAGGAGTTCAGGCTGCTATGGGTCTGTTCTCAAGTTGTAGCAAGACTAAAAGAAGGAATGAAATATTTTAGGAGATATGGTAAAAGAAATCAAATTCTATAAAAATAGAGGAATCAAAGTCAACTCAGATTTCAAGCTCAAGGGAAGCTTGTTTGGCAGGGGGAAAATGAGCCTGGGGTGTGTTGAGTTTACAATGATGGGCCATATAGAAGGTCAGATTTGAAGGCTTATCTAGAAGTATGGAGGTGATAAATCCAGTTATGAATGAGTAGTCCAGAGGAAGAATAAAGATGAACAAAGAGCAGCTAAGGCCTAAAACCCCTGTAATTAGAAAGCAGTAGGCTGTGTAAAGAAAAGGCTTAAGTGAATGGTTAGGAAGATCAGAAAGATTTCATATGCTCAAGGTTTAGCCCTATTCTGTGACGGGCATTTTTCCTTCAAAGTTCTCCAAACACTGAGGCATATTTTGCACTAGAGGACACCAAAGTGGCCTGAAAGACTAAGGAACTTGCTGAAAGCCAAGAGCACATGGCAGAGCTTTATTCTTTCACTTCCCCTCCACATCACAGTGTAAATACTATCTCTTAGGTGCCTTACAATAGAATCAAACGTTCTCTCATCTGCTTAAAACACAAAAACAAAGCCACTGAATCTACAAGGCAGAGTTTAAGCTACTGAACTGTTGAGCATGGTATTTTATCAGAGTACTTACAGGAAAGTGTTATATTTCAGTTGTTTATGCAAATGGAGATCTACTGCCCTGGGCTGTACAAAGCTCTGGACCCTTTGCCTGTTCCCAGCTTTCCAAGGAACCCCCTATCCCTGTAGGCTCCAACTAGCTCAGCATTTTAATCTCTGCAGTGGGAGCCACACTAGTGCCACACCACAAAGCAACATTGGCCTTTCAACTAAGTCTTTTCTGGTGACATTCCTTCAGCACAGAAGAATGCTTCAAACATGGTAGGAAGCACAGTCCGAGGTAAACTTTTGGGAAGCACTTTGGAGTCGGTACCCTACAGGTTAGTCTTTACCAGTAACTGAAGTAGTGACTGTGATGGCAGGTGAAAAATGGACTTGCTTTCCCAAGTCTCCATTCTAGTAAATTATGTGTAAGATTGAAATGATATCCTTCTTTTAGGTACACATTCTCATGCCTGAGCTAGATTATGTAACTTCTAAAACTAGGTTATTTATTGTTTTCTCTTTTCGCTTTTTTATCCCTTGAATGTATTTTATAGTCTAAGGCTTTTTACCCTTTGAGTTCTCTCTCCCTGTACAGAGCAATCTTGATCTCACTGTGGGTTTCTGATATTTGGACACTAGAGATCTTGATGACAAGCTACTTATGAGGCCTGGGTCCAGTACCATCCTTTCAACTCGAAATTGGCCAAATCGAGCCCTGGAGCTTAGTACATCATTCCTGTCATATACAGTGCAGTCCGCCAGGAGACGCAATCCCCCACCACGTACCCTTCATCCCATCAGCACAAGCCATTCACGTGCTGGAACACCAAGACCTATGGAAGAAATACTCAGAGGATCCCGAGTGTAGGTTTCAAAAGCAGAATTTCTGGAATCTATGGTAAAACTAATGAAGAATTTTACATAGAGAATGAATTTAAATCTAAGGTTGAAATATATGCCTAAACAGTAATCATTACATATTCTTATGATGAACTGCACACTGGTGTAAATCTAATACAGAAAAATGGAGTTAAATTTGAAGGAAATATAGATATACTGGATCTTCCTATTGATTTAGCTAAAGACTTATATTTCTACAAATAAAATGTTGGCTAGAATACTTCAGTAGAACTCACCAAAGGAATAAGACATGTATTTTATTAAAACATTTTCCTTAGTGGGAACATCTTCAGTGAAATTCTTCCCCAAATAATAGTTAATTCTCCTTTAATATTTTTCTGTACCATTAGGATCTACCTATTCCATTGACAATGAAAACTTGAAAACCTCAGATAAGTAGATGCTTATACACCAGGAAATACGTCCCTTGGCACGTCTTAGGAAGTAACACTAAACATGTTCTCCTCCCTTTTCCCACCTTTCATTCACTAGACACTCTGAGCCTCACTGTGCAAAAAGTACCAAGCCAAGTCTTTAAAACAAAATTCTTTCATTAGTTGTTGACTTACAAAACATCTTAGGTTAATTTCTAAGACTATGAACAAGGGTGTGAGATGACAACACCATAACTGTGTTTTGAATTCAGCCTCTAAATCAAGGACGTCACTATACTTCTCTCCCAACACTTCTTGATTTTGACTTTTCAGTTTCTTGCTACAATTTATCCCAATAGACTTACTAAAAGAGGTGTCCAAAACCACCAAAAATCTTTGTTAGGACACCAGGGTTCTCAGCTACTCTCTATTTTGTTGATGTAGCGATATCTATACTGATATAGCTATACATTCAAGTATGAGTGGTCTTGATGTATAATTAATCTCTCATCCCTCTGACAGTGCTTTTTTCAAAGTGGAAAAGTAAGCTGCTTTGTTTTTTTCTGGGACATGAAAAGTATCATTCAGCTTTTAATTACTATCTTGGGCATGAGTAATACTGCAAACTGCTCCAAATCCCATGGAAGGAAATAAGTTTAGAAACTTTACCTGGAAATTATAGTTTTCAGTGAGGACAACCAGAAAGCCCAGAACTGTGAGTTCCATCAGATGTGAAATTACAAATCCATAACTGTCAGAGAAATACAACACAATATAGGGAAAATTGATTTATTCCAGTTCTCTGTGGGAGAAAGGGTCAACTTCTGCTGTGTGCTCAGGATGAAGTTTCAACAATAAGCAAATACTATGAAGAAAACCCAAAACTTTAATTCTCCAAAATCATCTCATTGAGATCTCTTCACTTAAAAATGTAGGCAGCTTAAAGCTTTCTGTGCATGAAATTAAACTCATCTGCTCAATTTATTTGATTCTAATCAGTTTGCTTATATTGTTATAACTTTATGCTTTCATGTCTTGGTTTTTGCTGATGGGATCTGCAGCCCAGTGGTGGCCAACTCACTCTCCTCTCCCTCACCACTGCCCCTGAGTCGAAATAATCTGCTGCCACCTATTGGCACAGCTGAAGTGGAACACTTGAGTACTGTGGGGCCACAAAGGCAAACGGTATGTCTCTTTCCTATTGCCTTTCCATGTGCTTGTAAAACCTCAGGGTCAGTAATTCTGCAGGGTCTGTGCTCTGGTCTTGACTTAACACTATATTTTGTCAAAAGTACACACTGAATTCTGATTCATGATGATGGCATTGGAGCTGCTTGGCCTGCAGTGACCATACCTGTTAGGGTTGATAAAGGACATGCACAGCTCCCACTACAAATTAACTGTTTCTGTAATTTTTGTCTCTTCTCAAGAAAACCCATGGCGATTCCAATCGAGCTCGAAGTGCAGCGGTGGATGAGCCTAACCATCAGCAGCCCCACGAGAGGCTCCTTTTACCAGACTTCTTCTCCAGGCCCAACACAACTCAGTCATTTTTGGTAGAGTGACATACTTCCTCTATGGTCTTGATAGTTGAGGAAAGGGGAAAAAAAATAGTTTGGCAGACTTAAGGCTTTACATGGTGGCTTAATCAACTCTAAGAATAAAAGATGAGGTTCTAATAAAAATAATGTTTTAAGTATATTTTGTTGAAACTCTAACTGGTCTCTGCCACTCATTCTTTTAACTTATACATAAATTGCAAATTCTAAGCAATTTAAAGTTTAGCTATTTCTGAGAATAAGCAAAATGTTAAACCCCAGTGTGTATGAGATTAGCATTGACTTCATTCTCTAACACTGCTCTTAGGGAATTACACAAAAAATGGTATCAGATTATGTATGTGGACTGGTGGATGTGCGAGTTAAGACTTTTGGGGGTTCTTAGTTAATTGGTGTTTGAAATGCTGACAATGCCTTACCACTTAATGTACATTTACTAGCCCTTTTACTTTTAAACAAGTAATAGAAAAAAACCTGACTGGGAGATTGGAGATCATGCACTGACCTTGCCCAAAATTGTAAGCCAGGAGCTCAGCCCCACCTCATTTGCTTTGCGCAATAGGGCTTGGACAGCCTAGGAAGTGACTGGGGCCACACTTATGGCCCAGGAACCAGGCACCAGGAACCCACATCCTATACCAGTTTTCAAGACAGTGGTATTTGCAACACACTTATCTCAACTCATAACCCTTAAACTGTATCAGCCTAAAGCACTGTACGATTCTTCCTCCATTAGAAGAGTGGTGAGAGTAGTAAATGAATGGGACATTGTACTAGTTTGCTAGGGCTGCTATAACAAATTACCACAAACTGGGTGGCTTAAAACAATAGAAATTTATTCTCTCAATTCCAGAGCCTATTAAGTCCAAAATCAAGGTGTCAGCAGAGCCATGTTCCCTCTGCAGGTCCTAGGGAAGAATCTTTTCTTTCCTCTGTCCTAGTTTATGGGCTGTTCAGCTTACTGCCTGTTTTTGTAAATAAAGTTTTCTTAGAGCAGAGCCACCACACTCATTCACTGTCTGTGGCTGCTTTCCTACTGTAACAGCAGAACTGAGGAGTTCCACTGAGAGTATGTACCACAAAACATAAAACGTTTACTATCTTGCCCTCTACAAAAAAAAAAGTTTGCTGATCCCTGACAGAAAACATGGGGCTTCATCAGGAAAGAAAAAAAGAAAAAAACCTCAAATCTCTTAATACCAGTGCTGACAGGAAACTGAGAGGGACGTTTTTTATTCTAGAAGTACCAGTGGGATGGTATTGATAGCTTTTTTTAATATCTGCATTTAGGTATTTTAGTTGTATCTTAAAATCTTTAAATCCCTTGAGATAAATTTGAAATGTTTGAGTTCTATATTGAGAGTCACATTTCAAGCATGGAAGTAGTCATGGGTGTTTCAATGTTGCTGAAAAGGTTCTGGTTCTGTTGTTTTAAACAGTCAGCAGGCAATGGAAATCAGATAAAAATTCCCTTGACAGCCAATTATAAGTATTTAGAAATATTAAACCATACGGATTATTTATAAATGCTAAGATTTTCTTAAAGACGTATTAATAAAGTTGTAGAACTTGAAATTTTTAGAAGTTAACAATGGCTCTGTGGGCTTCTGGCTTGGGATTTTTCTTACTTGGAACGTAAGAGTACACTTAGCCAACTTGTCCCTCAGAATGTCAGATGATGTCGATTACATTGCTGTCCAACTTCAAGGTTTTCTCTCCTAAACCAAGTAACACATTATCCTCTGGGAGAAGTCACATCGTAAGAAGTGTCTCATCTTCTTTTTCAGCCGGACACACAGTATCGTCGTTCATGTGCTACTGAGCATCCTCATCAGGCCCGACCTGGTAGGGGATCTGCAGGAACAGGTCGGGCCATGGCTTTTATTTTACTACTATGTGGTTAAGACCCTGCTGTTTTCCATGTTTATTTTTCCTTCCTCCAGATTTTATTACATTTTGTTTTCCTACATCTTTGTAAATTACCTCAAATTCATTTTGGAATATGGGATATAATAAAAAATTACAGAACTCCACTGCTCAAAGCCAGAAAGTTCCAGATTTGTTTTCTCATATAAAAATTAACCTCTTGCCATTCTGGCAAACTACTTTTTTTTTAATCTAAAAAATTTAAGCCAAATAAGTCATTTTTGTAACATTCAAACACTGCATGGATTTTATTACTTGGCAAACCCCATATTGCTATGGATTAAACGGCTCTGGTCAGTTAAGCTGCTAGGCCAAGGTAAGAAAAGAAATTCACAATATCAAGACACAAGGAGTCTGATTCTATCCCATTAACTTTTTTGTCTTCTAAGTTATATTCTATAGTTTCTATTTTCATGTGAGTGATGAGAGAAAATTTAAGGATGTCTTAATTCTTCCTATAATGGTCTCACCATCAGGGTCATTTTCTCTTTATGTTATAGGTGAAATTTAGAACTATTGGGCAGTTGAAATGTTTCCTGTTAATAATCAGATTAATCAGCAAGTACATTAAAAAGTAATCTGCCTCAAACCTTCTCTGTAATCCAAGCGAATTCTTTTAGTTCAGTTCCTAGTAGCATCATTTGGTAGTCTTTGAATGCTTTCAGTGGATTCGGTTCTTGGATCAGTCCTCAGAGAAGCACTGCTGCCTCTGAGCTAGTTATTACATTTGGCCATGCTGCCCGTCAAGCATAACTAGTATATTTAGGTAAGTGAAACAGACATTTTAGTCCTTTTAAATTAGTGGCTATTTTCTAAAATTAGGTTACTGCTTTCATATCTAAATATAGATTTTGTTTCTTTGTTTTTACATTTTAAAATATGCAAACATGATTTTTATTGCCTTGGTAAATATATACTTTACTATTTAGTCACAGGCTCCAAATTTAAAGTCTAACTGATAACTGGAGCAAAAAAGTCCATACATATGAACTTGAGACAATCAAATCTAGAATGTCTACTAATGTTACTCTATGATGTCATCTTTGTCTGACAGGTCCTCAGTTACATGGATCTACAAAATCTCAAAACAGAGGTGGACCTATCACTAGAACCAGGCAGGGACCATAGGGCAAGTGAGAAGAACCTGCCTCATGCTGCAGGGAACATGTGGGAAGATTCCACAAATCAGTGTCCAGTCATCTCATGATGCAGAGCTTGTAAACAGGAGACAACTTGAAACTATCTTCATGAAGACTTATTTTGGTACAACAGACTGAGAACAGTATCAGCCAAAGATTACATGCGTACTGCTTCTATCTCCAGTTACTGTCTTCTTTCAGCATAAGTTAACCATTTCACTGGACAGTAGAATTTGTACCCAAAGATGTAACAAAAGAGTAATATCCTCCAAATCACTGTTCATATTGTCTGTTAACAATGATCAGTTCAATTATTACAGGATTCTATCAGACTATACATACACAAAAAGTAGGAAATTGTTTGATAACATTATCACTGGCTTCGGAATACTTCTGCTTGTGTTAATTTCTGGACAGGTGTACTCACGTTTACGTCATTTTTAGGAGACAGTGCTGTCAAAAATCTGAGCTACTCATCAAACAGATGAGTTGTTCCTAAAGTTTTCTCTTTAGATGTCCAATCCCATAGGCAGGCAGATATGGCAGGGGTGAGTAACTAAAGACATAAACGTTGAGCACTGGTGTAAAGTAACCTATGTAATAAACCATAATGGATTTTTTTCTCACATAGGAGAACTCAACCTCACAACACCTGCTTGACATCAGGTTATGCTTCTTTTCTTCTTAAAGTACTTTAGTGGTCGTATTTCCAAATATTATACTCACCTTGTCGATTTTCTCCTGCAGATCTAAGAAAGGCAATTTAAATATTTATAGAATATTTCTATTAGTGAGACAGCAAGACACAACTTCTTAAAATTTCAGAAACCCTGCAAATTAGTCCAGTATAAACATATCCTAAGAGCAAAGGAAGAGAACTTTGACATTCTTCCAATTTTCACATGGACCTTTCCTGAGTGCACTCATTAATGAAACAATGGTTTTAACTATGGCTTACATTTATTTTATTTAAATTTCACTGAATTTTAATTTTGATGATCATACTGGTTTTAGATCTTACTGTTAATCTTCAGAGTTGATCAACTGGGGTAATTTTATTATTTTGCAGTTATCTAATGCTATCACATGAAGATAGATGCTTCAAACAACCTGCATTAAATTGTATTTTTCATGCAGTTAAAGAGTATTTTTTAACCTGTTTATAATCACAAACTGAAAACGTGTCATGGGCTTACCTCAGATAAATTATGATACATAAATCTCAGTAACAGAAGGCTTGTTTTATGTATATGGTATTGAATATATTAGCTTACAAGTCAAGAGGTTTTAAGTTGAACAGTCCCTAAAAAATTTCCATATTTTCTAATGAGTTCATACCAATTCAACTAAATATAAGTGAAAATCTCTGTACTATTCTCACAAATCAATACCAGGAGCACATAATAACAAACTACTGGATCAAGACGGCTTGCCTTTCAAGGTTAAAGTTAAGTCAGAAGGAGCCTCTAACAGGTCATTTAGCCCAGCTCCCTTACTCTTTTATAGAGGAAAGAAGTTCAGACAAGCTCAGTGAGCTAAGGACATTCAGCAGTTACAGGCAGGACTACAACATCTCTTGAGGCAACTTAAACCAGGCCATCTGCTACAATGCTGACTACGACTACTTTCCTTCTCTCTTCTTTATCCTAAGCACCATTCATATCTTTTCTAGATCATCTTTTAAATGATCACACTGGGATCATTTAAAAAGCCCCTGGAACTTAACAGTCATTTTTTTACTTGTTTATTTAATCATGTATAATTCTTACAAAGATGCTTGAAGTTATCTGAACACCTGTTTCTCCTATAAACCTCAAGCAAAGAGTGCAAAACTTAGTTGAGTAAAACAAAAAGGAGAGGGTCTATGCAAGAACATTAAGATTGAAAGCAGGGGCTTCCCTGGTGGCGCAGTGGTTGAGAGTCTGCCTGCCGATGCAAGGGACACGGGTTCGTGCCCCGGTCTGGGAAGATCCCACATGCCGCGGAGCGGCTGGGCCCGTGAGCCGTGGCCGCTGAGCCTGCGCGTCCGGAGCCTGTGCTCCGCAACGGGAGAGGCCACAACAGTGAGAGGCCCATGTACTGCAAAAAAAAAAAAAGACTGAACGCAAACTGGCAAGTATTTGGAAGACATATGTCCAGCAAGTGTTGAAGGCTAGGTAGAGTACCTGTTCCAATAAACACACACCACTGAATACCCTGCAGCTCACTCCTGTGTGGCAAAATGACAACTGCTAAATGTGGTAGGGATAGATCTGCATTATAGGTACAGTTCCTTGTACAGAAGACCAATAGAAGAGTGCTGTCAGGAAGCATATACCCTTCCGCTCCCTCAATGACCATCACCAAATTCCTTCATAGGAGGACCTCACAGAATGTCACAGTGTTTCCAGGATATACTAACATCAGGTTGAGAGATTCTGTTTGGTTTACATAGTTGATATGAATAATTTAGGCTTGAAAGACAACTTTTCTCAAGGGTTAACTTTTGTCTTCAAATCTTGACGGCACCTTGCCTACGAGGCATCAATTAACACCTAAGGACTTTTGAAGAGAAAATTCCATTATTTCTTTTCTTTCTTGAGAGTTGTTTTTTTCCCTCCTCGTTTGGAAGGTTTGCAGTACTTTGCTTCCATCTGAGCCAGAAAATTTTCCATTTCCTTTTGCCGATCCTTTTGTCTGCTCTGTTTGAGAAGTTAAAACACAAGCTTTCAAAACACAAGACTGTCCACAGAGATAAAAGTACTTAGCAGCTGCCAGGGGCTGGTGGAAAGGGAGAATGGGGAGTGACTGCTAATGGATAAGGGGTTTCTGTTCAGGGTGATGAAAATGTTCTGGAATTAGTGCTGATAACTGTAAAACCTGATAAATATACTAAAAACCACTGTACAATTTAAAAGGATGACTGTATGGTACCTGAATGTCTTAAAAGAAGAGAACAAAATGCCCACAATACTGTACATACACTCCAAAGAAAATATTAGCGGTAGGAATCAGAATATGAAAGAAGTGGTGGCAACCTTCACAGACAACCTGCCAGGTTTACCTGAATGAGTGCTTTCAAGTTATCCACTCCTTCATCAAGCCCCAACTCCTTCCTGCTCATTTCTGCTTCTTTAGCCTCTTCCTGAGCCTAAAACAGAAACTCATGTGAGACGCTATGGCAATCTAGCAAATACTAAAAATACACCCTCTTTCCCCAAAGCAAATTTAAGACTCCTTCAATTTGAAGATTATATAAATTAAAAGGATAAAATTGCATAAATATGACACTCACTAAAAGGCAGCATTGCTGACATCAAGCAGTAGATCCTCTGATTCCAATAAGCATTTCTGACTGCTCCCCATTTGTATTTGCTAGGGGTAAGCAGGTAATTTGGTTTCATAAACCACACAGTGACAGGAAGGAAACCAAAATGCTAGAAGAGCTAAGAAAGGTCACTTAGCCAAGGATGCCCTCAAAATTTTGCCAGGATACAGGCACCTCAGATTCCTCCTCTGGAAACCCAATTTACTACATGTGACTCCTGGCAGCCTTGAGGGCAACCCCAGTTTAAAATTTCCCCTGAGTAGTTAGGATAAACTCTAACAAATTCAGTTTTAACCTTTCTTTACCGGATTTCAAAGCCACCTCCTCTTGCCAAATTTTACTAGGGCACTGATTCCAAAATACCACAAGAATACCTTGGGAAAGGTTAATAAGTTCACTCTTT